AAAAAAAAAAAAAAAAAGATACAAAAATTAGCTGGGCATGGTGGTTCATGCCTGTAGTCCCAGCTCTTGGGAGGCTGAGGCAAGAGAAGTGCTTAAACCCTTGAGGCGGAGGTCACAGTGAGCCAAGATCACGCCACTGCACTACAGCTTGGGCAACAGAGCTAGACTCCATTAAAAAAAAAAAAGTAATTGAAGAGAGGTGGAGATCTTTCTAAGTATGATACAACCCAGAAGTAGTAACAGAAAATTTGGTAAAATTGACCAGTTAGAAAAAGTTTTCTTGGCCAATAAACAAAAACAAAAGCAAACAAACAAAACAGCATAAGAGAAATAAAAGGACATGACAAACTGAGGAAAATTTTGACATTCATAAGAAAAATGACTACTCTTACCATTATATAAAAAGTTTCTATACTTAGTAGAAAATTAGACAATGTATATACATAGATAGTTCACAGGATAGGAAATACAAATGTTTCTTTAACCTGAGAAGATGCTCTCAACCTCCCTCTTCACAAGAAAAATACGAGTTAAAATATTTTTTTATTAGATTGACAAGTTCCATTTCTGACCAAAATAGAGTAAGTCCACTGCTGCCCATGTCTCCTACTGATTGATCACTACTAAAACCTCTAGATAAACTATAAAGAATAACTACCCAAGGACTCTGAAAAGTAAATAATAGCAGGGAGATTGGGCAGGGAACTCAAACCTGAAGAAAGACTGATACAGGAGTGGTGAGATTCCTGTTTTTATTTTTTTCTCCTCTACCTCTTCGCTTTGATCTGAAGACAGAATGAGTTGGGAATTGTCAACCAGACACTATCAGCAAAACATCAGAGAGAAGCCTGACCATGTAGCCACAGGACCAGGAAAAAAGGCTGCTGCAAGCTAGAGAAAGTGGTAGAAACTGCTGATTGCTTTTTTCTTTCCCTCCCTTGCCCTGAAGCCATTCCCAGTCAGGGAGCTGCCTTGCAGTGGTACAGTGACATGGTCACCTGGGAGAAAACCTATCCTCCTGGACAGAGGAGTTGGGAAAAGGAACTCTTGGAAGCCAGAGAGAACATGGAGGAAATCCCCCAAAAAAGACAAGTGGAGAAAGGAATCCCTAATTCTGTGTAATTGTTTGACATGTAGTCATAGGTAATGGATACAGTAGTTCCCCTTAGCCACAGTTTCTCTTTCCATGGTTTCAGTTACCTTCAATCAACTGAGGTCGGAAAACATTACATGGAAAATTCCAGAAATAATTCATAAGTTTTAAATTGTGTGCCAATCCGAGTATTGTGATGAAATCTCACACTGTCCCACACCATCCCTCCTGCATGTGAATCATCTCTTTGTCTGGTGTATCCATACTGTAGGTCCTTGTATTAGTCCATTCTCATAATGCTATAAAAAAATAACTGAGACTGGGTAATTTATAAAGCAAAGAGATTTAATTGGCTCATGGCTTTGCAGGCTGTACAGGAAGCATGATGCTGGCATCTGGTTGGCTTCTGGGAAGGCTTTAGGAAACTTATAAGTGAAGAGGGAGCAGGCATATCACATGGCCAGAGCAGGAGCAACACAGAGGAAGATGCCACACACTTTTAAACAGCCAGATTTTGTGAAAAGTCACTCACTATTTTGAGGACAGCACCAAGAGGATGGTGCTAAATCATTCAGGAGAAATCTACTCCCATGATCCAATCACCTCCCACCAGGCCCCACCTCTAATACTGGAGATTACAATTCAGTGTGAGATTTGAATGAGGACACAGATGCAAACTATATCAATGCTACATACCTGTTAGTCACTTAGTAGTCATCTAGGCTATTAGGTTAAAAAAACATAAATATACAGGGTTCAGTACCATCTGTGGTTTCAGGCATCCAGTGGGGGTACTGAAACATGGATAAGGGGGACTACCATATGGGGATCTATGTCATTAACTCAGGTTTGCCATTTATGTTATCCAACAATTTACCATACTTAACAGAAATGTGTTAAGTTTTAATGTGTTAACAGTGGAAATGAAATAAGATTATCCATGAGAAAAGGACTTTTATGTTTCCATTCAATTTTTTTTCCTAATTCCTCCAGTCACATAAATATAAGAAAATGAAGTTATATGAAGGATGGCCATAAGTTCAAGGATAAGAAGATAGGAAGAGTACAATTTAAAAACAAAAGTCTAATGAGTAATTTATGTCTAAACTTATTGAAGTTCATAAATAATTTATCCTGATTTTCAGAACCTCTTCTGGACATACCCACACAGGACCTACAAAAAGACAGCTGCACAAGAGCTGGTTAATAATGTTGTGAGCTGACATGCTAGCATCAGTGGTCTAGAAAGAATGACAAACTGCTCCTACCAAGTAATTAGTCTTCTGCTCCTTTCTTTAGTCTTCCTGCCTCCTGCCTGGAACCTGGTAGATCCAGAGAAGGATGGAGAATAAAGAGCAGACCAGCCTTCTCCCCACTGTAGTTCGTTAAGGCATCGATCTGGCCAAAGCTGGATGTATGGAGGCGGAAAGTGTCCATTCATTTTTTTATTTTTCATTTCATGTTATTGTTTGTCTACTATGGACCTAACACTGTTCTAAACATTGGGGATAGAGTAATCCTCCATTATCTGCAGGAGATACATTCCAAGATCCCCAGTGGATGCTTGAAACTGAGGATAGTATAAAACTCTATGTACACCATGTTTATTCTTTCCTATATAAACATACATACCTATGATAAAGTTTCATTTATAAATTAGGTACAGTAAGGGATTAACAACAATGAATAATAGAAAAATTATAAAAACAGACTGTAATAAAAAGTGAATATGGTCTCTCTCTCCCTCTCTCTCTCTCTCTCTCTCCAAATATCTTATTGTTCTGGCCTCACCTATTTTCAGACTGTGGTAGACCCTGGGTAACTAAAAACACTTAAAGCCAAACTGCGGATAAGGGGGAACTACTATATATCAATGGACAAAACCGGCAAAAATCCCTGCCCTGTGAAACTTACATTCTAGGGAGAGAGACTGACAATAAATGAAACAACATAAAATGTTAAGTCAGTAA